GCAAATTATATATGAATATACAAAGCTTGATGTAGATTTTTATATACCTCGTCTGAGGCAATGCAACAATTGTGGGCGACTAGGCCATACTCAAATGTCCTGCAAATCTAAAATTAGATGTATCAAATGCGGCAAAAATGAGTGCAGATCAGATTGTGAGGCAAACAACTGCATTTTATGTGGAAATAGTGGCCATACAGCAAAGGACAAGCTCCGCTGCCCTCATTGGGAAAAGGAGTTGGCCGTGAACCGTATCAAGACGGTCAAGAAGATGTCACGTAAAGAAGTTCTGGACACTTATTACCCAAAAAATAACAATAGATTTAGCATTTTCGAGGAGGACGAAACTTCCTTTCCTTCATTCTGTAATCAGACTGATGAAACGATAGATAAAGATCTTAATATAAATCGTAATTTAACAAAGAAATCTTATAGCTCAATTCTTAAAAAACGTCAGGTTAGACATGAACCATCTCAAACAAGATATCCAAAAAGAATTAACAACAAAGTTAATAATAGCCCTGTTATTGAATCATAATCTTACCAAAAAGGAATAGTAACCCAAATGGAGAAATTGATGACTCAGCTCCTTAAAATAACTCAAAAAATTTCAATTGAATTCCAAGACAACGACACCTTCCAACCGGTTCAATTCCTTAAAAATCAATTTGACTTGATCATGAATAATAATGACGAGAGAGCTATATTTAATTCAGACAATTCCTCCTTCTTTGAAAATGAAGATCTTGCATTATAATATTCAATCTCTAAAAGCAAATATAGATTCTCTAGAATTCTACATCAACAAATACGAATTCGACACTGTATGCCTTAATGAAATTTTTCTTACAGCCAATTCTTCCCACAGGAGGTTAATTGGCTACAATATGATTAAAAAATATCGTAGTGATGGGTATGCGGGTGTGGCAATTGCCATAAAATGCAACATCAAATATAAAAAAGTTATGTTTAACTCTGATTTTGATATACTAATGATAGAAACGCTCAACCTTAGTCCAAATATTTTTCTAATCACTACGTATTTTCCTCCTAATGTAATATGGCTTACTGCCAAGGAAGTGGTAAAAATCTTTGCGTACAATGATAATATCTCTGCTTTAATAGGAAATAATCCTCTTTTAAACTCTAGCTACTCCTCTGTATATCGAAAGTTTTCTGATATTCTTGACCGTCTTGATGTGGTTCACGGCAATCTCCATATCTCTAATCTTCAGATCTGTGATAATATGTTACCTGACAAAAAATCTAATCTAACAATTGAGAGCATAAAGAATCATCATACTATGATTTTAAACAGTTATAAAAACAGGTTTTTATATTCTGTATAGTGATGCCTCCCTGGCTGAAAATAGCACTGGTTGTGGAATCTTCAACTACTCCCAAAATTCTGATCATCTATTCTGTATTGATTTTAAGTCTTCCTCCACTTTTGGAGAGCTTCTGCCATCAATGAAGCAATTAGCATTGCCATCAAGGACAAAAAGGATAAGGTTGTTATATTCACTGACAGCCTCACCTCTTGCCATATTTTAAAAAATACTCAAACAAAGAACTCTATTGCACAACAAATACAAAAAAAAAATACTTGATGCTGGAAGTATTCTGATAGATCTGGTATGGGCCCCTAGCCATATTGGCATCCTAGGGAATGAAAGGGCAGATGAACTAGCCAAGATAGCCACTATGGAAGGTTCCGCTTTAAGGGCCAAATATACAATTGACGAAGCCATCTTCTTCTTCTTCTTATTTGGCGCTGTAACCGCCTAAGCGATTTTGGCCGAGTCCAATACAGCACGCCAGTCATATCTCTTCTGTGCCAACTGACGCCAATTGAAAATGCCAAGCGAAGCCAAGTCCTTCTCCACCTGGTCTTTCCAACGCAGAGGAGGCCTTCCTCTTCCTCTGTTCCCAGCATCGCGGCCCGCGTTGAATATTTTCAGAGCAGGAGCGTTTCTGTCCATCCGAACGACATGGCCAAGCCAGCGGAGCCGCTGAATTTTAATTCGCTGCACTATGTCTATATCGTTGTAAAGCTCATACAGCTCATCGTTAAATCGTCTGCGATATTCGCCATCACCAACGCGTAAAGGTCCGTAAATCTTTCGCAGAATCTTTCTCTCGAAAACTCCAAGAGCCGCCTCATCAGATGCTTTCATTGTCCATGCTTCCGCGCCATACACCAGCACAGGCATGATGAGTGACTTATAGAGTGTGATCTTTGTACGACGAGAGAGGACTTTACTTCTCAATTGCCTACTCAGCCCAAAGTAGCACTTGTTGGCAAGAGTGATTCTCCGTTGGATTTCAAGGCTGACATTATTATTGGTGTTAATGCTGGTTCCCAAATAAACGAAGTCGTCTACTTTTTCAAACTTGTAACTGTCAACAGTGACGTGGGTGCCAAGACGCGTATGCTCTGACTGTTTGTGTGCTGACAGGAGATACTTCGTTTTGTCCTCGTTCACCACCAGACCCATTCGCTTTGCTTCTCTATCCAATCCCGAGAAGGCAGAACAGACGTAGCCCTTGTTTTTACCGATAATATCGATGTCGTCGGCATACGCCAGCAATTGTACGCTCTTATAAAGTATTGTGCCTGAGCGGTTCAGTTCTGCGGCTCTTATTATCTTCTCCAACATAAGATTAAAGAAATCACACGAAAGGGGGTCCCCTTGTCTGAAACCTCGTTTGGTATCAAACGGCTCGGAGAGGTCCTTCCCTATTCTGACGGAGCTGGTGGTATTGCTCAACGTCATTTTACACAGCCGTATTAGTTTCGCGGGGATACCAAATTCAGACATCGCGGCATAAAGGCAACTTCTCTTCGTGCTGTCGAAAGCGGCTTTGAAATCGACAAATAGATGGTGTGTGTCGATCCTATTCTCGCGGGTCTTTTCCAAGATTTGGCGTATTGTGAATACCTGATCTATGGTGGATTTTCCAGGCCTAAAGCCACACTGATAAGGTCCAATCAGCTCGTTGACGGTGGGCTTCAGTCTTTCGCACAATACGCTCGATAAGACCTTGTAACCTATGCTTAGAAGGCTAATTCCGCGGTAGTTGGCGCGTATGGCGGGGTCGCCTTTCTTGTGGATTGGGCAGAGCACACTTAAATTCCAGTCGTCGGGCATGCGTTCATCTGACCATATTCTGCATACGAGCTGATGCATGCACCTCATCAGCTCCTCGCCGCCGTACTTGAATAGCTCGGCTGGCAGGCCGTCAGCTCCAGCAGCTTTGTTGTTTTTCAGCCGCGTAATCGCTATTCGTACCTCGTCATAGTCAGGCGGTGGGACAGCTACTCCATCATCATCGACTGGGGACTCGGGTTCGTCTTCCTCACTACTTTCAGCGCTGCTACCATTCAGTAGGTTATAAAAGTGTTCCCTCCACAATTTAAGTATATTCTGGACATCGGTCACTAGGTCGCCATTGTTGTTCTTACAGGAGTTCGCCCCGGTCTTGAAACCTTCCGTAAGTCGCCTAACCCTCTGGTAGAATTTTCGGGAGTTCTTCCTGTCGGCCAGCATCTCAAGCTCTTCGCACTCACGTATTTCGGCCTCTCTCTTCTTATTGCGGCAAATACGTCTCGCTTCCTTCTTCAGTTCCCTATAACGGTCCCACATGGCTCGCGTTGCGCCCGATCGCAGCGTGGCCCTGTAGGCGGCATCTTTTTTCTCTGCGGCTTCTTGACATTCCTCATCGTACCAGTTGTTCTTTCGGGCTCGCTGAAATCCAACTACTTCTTCGGCGGCGGTACTTAATGATCGGGAAATGTGGTTCCACTGCTCGCGTACGTCGGATTGTTGAAGAGTGCTCTCAGAGAGCAGGTGTGTGAGTCGAGTGGCGAATAAATTGGCCGTCTGTTGTGATTGCAGCTTTTCGACGTTAAGCTTTCCTTGCATTGTTGGGCGCACATTTTTTGCTGCACAGAGGCGGGTGCGTATCTTGGCAACAACAAGATAGTGGTCCGAGTCGATGTTTGGCCCTCGGAGTGTACGTACGTCCAAAACGCTTGAAGCATGCCTTCCGTCTATCACAACATGATCGATTTGGTTTCTCGTTTTTCGATCTGGAGACAGCCATGTAGCTTGGTGGATGTTCTTATGCTGGAACCTAGTACTACATATTACCATATTTCGGGCCCCGGCGAAGTCGATCAGCCTCAGTCCGTTATCGGACGTTTCGTCGTGGAGGCTGAATTTTCCGACAGTGGCGCCAAAGATCCCTTCCTTGCCCACCTTGGCATTAAAATCGCCAAGCACGATTTTGACATCGTGTCGGGGGCAGCGCTCATATGTACGTTCCAAGCGCTCATAGAAGAGATCCTTGGACGCCTCATCCTTCTCTTCCGTCGGGGCATGGGCGCAGATGAGCGAGATGTTGAAGAATCTAGCTTTGATGCGGATTGTGGCTAGACGTTCGTCCACCGGGGTGAACGCCAGTACTCGGCGACGGAGTCTCTCTCCTACCACGAATCCAACACCGAATTTGCGCTCCTTTACGTGGCAACTGTAGTAGACGTCGCAAGGCTTCACACTTACTTTACCTTGCCCCGTCCATCGCATTTCTTGGATGGCGGTGATGTCAGCCTTTGTCTTCCCGAGGACATCAACCAGCCGGGCAGAGGCACCTTCCCCATTAAGGGTCCGGATATTCCAGGTGCATACCCTTAAATCATAGTCCTTTATACGTTTGCCGTGGTCGTCATCAGAAAAAGGGGGTCTCATCCGAGGCTGTTTGTTTTTTTTCATTGGGCGGGGTTTTAACGTGGCGGGACCCAAACCCAGCGCACGCGAAGTTTTACGCCTTCTCACTTTAGCTCGCTCCCAAACGGGTGTTTGGTTGCTACCCAGAGGATACGTGGATATAAATATCCGGACGTTGTGAGCTGCGATTTGAACCGTACGCACAAGAATCGCTTCTGGCCACTCCCAGGTGAATGGCAGTCAAAAGTTTTCCACTTCTGCGCACGGAACCATCCGACGAAGCCATCAGGCAGATTAAAAATACCATCTTTGACGAATGGTGCAATAAGTTCTTAAATTACTCCTCATTGAAACCCAACCTGTTTGAATCTTTTTTACATGTAGAAAAAGTTTCGCTTGGTTTTAAAAACTAACATCATCACCGACAGACATCAAAACGCAGAGTCCTATCAGGGCACACGTATGATAAGGCATATTTGTTTAAAATTAATGCCCTAAACTCGCGAAGTTGTTTTTGTGGTCAACTAGATGACTACATTCATCAAACCTTCTACTGCAGAAGACTCGATAATATTAGAGCTGAATTTGATATTTTCAACAATGCTACCGATTTTCAAACAATTGTTCAAAACAATTATCTAGCCAAGATAACTCAACTTGCCAAATTTTCCAAAAGGCCAAAATATCAATTTGATTTTAAAAATATTCGTTAAATTTTCTAACCAGTTGTTGCATTTCACCTCAATTTAATTTTGCTATTCGTCACATATTATGTTTATATTATAAATCGTTCTACCTAGCCCAAGCCTGTATAGTCCGTTATCGCGAATACTACTAAAAATACATGCCAATCAGAACTGCCTTCAAATTCGCACATGCTCTGTACGCATCATCAACCACACAATCTTAGGATATAATACACGGCTACTTAGAAGAACAACTGCACATAAATAGTACAAGCAGAAGCTACTACAGGGGTTTTGGTCAGCGGTACTACCTTTTGTAGGAGTGGAAATACAGCAGACACATCAACAGATATACACCTGACTGTGTACACCATACCTGGAGGAATAACCTGACTATAGGGACCGTTGTCCTTTCAGTCATAGCTTCAGAGCCCAAAAAAAAGTTTAAGGGTTTCGCAGGACACAGCTGTCAGTAAGGACCATTCTTTATTATTCTTTGAGGCGATGGCAATCGCCTCTTCAAAGGCCAAGAGTTCCCCAAAGGCTGTTGACGGCTTAAAGGGCCGGTGGAAGAATGTTTCCGTGTCACAATTGTAGTTATATATACCCCACTCAGTCCTGCTGTCAGAAAGTGATATCAGTGTACATGATGTACAGATTTGACACCGTTAGCAGCAGTGGTGTAGCATACTCAAATTTGGACCTAACTGCGACTTTTGTATATGTTCATGGCTTTCTGCGGGTGTAGACCAGATTTAACATTCTTTAAGTTCTTGGAAAAACCTTATATTGTTGGATGTTGACTCTATGGTGGTTGTGTAGTGACCACTCATGGTCAGAGAGCTGTTTATTACTCTGCCCAGTGCCCTGTTGCAATCTAGTCTGGCCAATGGTGACATTTATCTCCCTTTTTGGTCCCCTGCTAACATTCATAACTTTGGTTTTACTTGGGTTAAAACTTAAATCGAATCCTTTCCAACAAGTAAGGACAATCAATGATTCCAGTTATGATATTACGAGTAATGGACAGGCACAGTATAGACCTACGAATTTCTAGGGACTTGAGACTTATAAACATGAGACGAGCAGAATAGGATGGTATGGGATCCACAAAGTTCAAAGACCGAAGTGCAAACTTAAGAACAATTTTTTGTACACGTTCTACTATCAAAAATGACGCCAAGGTCCTTAATCTCACTAACACACTGAAGGTCACATGTCCATATATTGTACGTAGCAGGTATAATGTTGGATATTTTCGAGTAAGTCATTTGAAAGCACTTAGACAGGTTCAGTGAGAGCCGTGACTTCTGGCACCACAAGTAAAGCCTATCAATATCAGTTTGAAGCATATTGGCATCTTCTGGGGTCTTAATGGATGAGAAAATCTTTAAATCTTCAGATTAAGCAAACATTTGGCAAATGAAAAGCAGCTTGTGATATCATTAATAAAAAGTACAAATAGGAGTGGTCCCAAGACACTTCCTTGTGGGACTCCAGAGGAGGCAACAAAGGGGGTAGATGAAATAACATCAAATGTAACAACACAACGTCTATTGTAAGAGTTTATCCATTCCAGAAAAGCAGAGTGAACACCAAGACAACCAAGTTTTTTAATTAAGACTCTGTGAGAGACTTTATCGAAAGCCTTCGAAAAGTCGGTGTAAATGCCGTCGACCTGAAAACCAGCCGAGAAAGACTCAATGAAGTATTCACTGAAAACAGCTAGATTAATTATTAAATTATAATTATTATAATTAAAGATTTAACCGCAAAGCTCAACTTTGCATTGATTGCGTGTTCAAATATTTTTGAGATAGTCGAGAGCTTAGAAATGGGCCTATAATTCCTTACGTCAAGTGAGCTTCCATGCGTCAATAAAACTCCCCGACGATAAAGATTTGTTAAAAATTACTTTCAGAGGATAGACCAAAGCAGGACAATTTTTTATTAGAACTGCTGAAAGACCATCGACATCAGTTTGGGAGGAAGATTTCAATTTAACCAAAGCGTTACTAATATCCTCAGATGAAAGGCATAGAGCCCCGAGGTCCAAAGAGTAGTCTAGATTAGAGGAAAAGTCGCATGGCTGATCATGGTCTTCATCAACAAAATTGTATTTAAAAAACTCAGCAAATAAATTTGCCGCTTCACTTGAGGTTTGCGCATAATTATTATCCAAAAATACGCCGGTGGGAACACTAGCGAAGCTTCTTTTGGATTTTATGTAATTCCAGAAAGTCTTTGGATTCGATTTAATGTTCAACTCTATGCTACAAATGTAGTTATTATAAAGAGATTTATTTAAGTAGTTGAAATTTTTTAGAGCTCGTTTATATTTAACGAAAAATGAATGGTTCTTCGTAGATTTAAACTTCTTAAAATAATTGTTTTTAAGATTTTTAAGCTTTTTTAAATCCTTAGAATACCAGGGTAATCTATAGGGTTTTTTCTTTCTAACCGGAATATTATCCAAGCAGAGTTTACACAAAATGGATTTAAAAGTAGTGAAACTGCTAAATGTATCAAGATCTGCAAATAAATTATCCCAATTAATATCGAGTAGTAATTCATTAAAGCTAGAAAAATCGCATAATGCATAATTAAAAGATAATATGTCATCAGAAGGTACTGAAGCAAAACAGTAAAAATCGAGTTTTACAACTAAAGGTAAATGATGCTTATCTTTAGGAGTTACTGGATTCAAACATTCACTAACTTTGTAGCTTAGGTTATCACTTACAAATATGAGATCCAAAATTCTATTCAGAGAATTAACGAAATTATTAACTTGACATAAATTAAGACTAAGAATATTATCAATAAAATATAATTCATGATTTGCAGACACGTTAGTTGGTGTAAGACTATAATTAGAAATACTAGCAGACCAATTTATCTTGCATAAGTTGAAATCACCTAGCACACATAAATGATTATCATTTAGGTTATTTAAAACTAGAGATGCCACGTTGTTAGCATGAGCTTTGTACAACTCAAATGAACTATCAGGCGGTATATACGAAGCGAGTAGGTAAATGGAATCTTGCGCGGAGTGACAACTTATACAAACACAAATTTGATCGAGCAGAGAGTCATCATTATTGAGTGGAAACAGGAATGCACGGAGTTGACGCTTGACAGCAATTAGAACCCCACCACCACGAAGGCAACCCGTTTTTGCAGCATCTCTGTCTTTACGAAATACATTAAAAAGATTCGAGTCGAAGAACTCACTGTCGANAAATACTTTAAAAAGATTCGAGTCGAAGAACTCACTGTCAAAAAAACTTGCATTCAACCACGTCTCAACAAAAACAAAGATGTCGTAATCCATTTGCGCACTAAAAGAATGCACAATATCAGCCTTGGTTCGCATGCCGGATAAGTTTTGAAAGTACACCTTGAGACCACGGCTAGGAGGGTCCAAGGTCGTTACTATGTCCGAGGTGGCTGTTGTTGATCCTTTAGAAAAAACTGAAAAGGCTTGACCGAGACATTTGTAGGCCAAATTTCCGAGCTCAGCAACTTCGCGTACGAGGATTCCGGAACTCCCAACTTAAAATTAACTCTCTTAATAGTTGATACTGGGACATTTTTTTTAACCAGTTTGAAGCAGGATAACAAATTTTTATCTAAACCAGTTTGCTTAAAAACACAATCTTTAATGTTATCCTCGGATACGGAAGGCGAGAAAGAACATAAATGCAACTATTTATGCCGGACCGCAACGTCCAAATCATTACATGCATTTGTACCGAAAACACGCACTTGTTTTTTGTTCCTTTTCTTCGTAGCCGCCGACCACTGTGCATTATTAACCTCAGCAGTAGGCGCAATAGAAGCAGGTGGGAGAGCATCATTGGAGACGTCAGCAGCTGGGGCCGAAAACTTAGCATGTGTGTGTGTAGAGCGCATACAGCAAGCAGCAGTGTTCACTTTAGGGTCAGTGCAGGCAACAACATTTTTTGTGCCGACATCTCAGTGTGCGAATTTGTATCAGCAGATGACCAAGCATTATCAGCAGATAGAGAATTAGCAGCGACAGCCGAAGAAGCAGGTGAGCGAGCATAAACAGAGAGAGCATCAGTGGAAACTGCAGTAGCAGGTGCCGAAAAGTCAGCGTACGTGTGTGTATCAGCGGATGACCAAGCGACATTCGAAGAACAAGCAGCACGAGAAGTATGCGACGAGAGAAAAAGAGCGCGATTAGCTGCAATAATTTCTTTTACAGCTGCGTTATCACTGCCAAACTTCTCAACAGCAACACCAATAGAGGAGCGAAGGTCTTTATTTAACCTCTGCCATGAGTAAGGCAATCGTATCATCTTTCTCAAGCAGATTGCGCTGCATGGAAGGAAGATCTGAGTGAATGTTTTCAGTTTTTAACAATAAATTATTGTTATCTTCCCGTAAAGCACTGATCAGATTATTCACGCGGGCATTCTCATTTCGAAGAGCGACAACCACATTGTATAGAGATCCCAATGTAACTTGTTGCTTATTGGTATTGGTATTATCATTTGAATTACCATTTAGCTTTAAAGAGCCAACGGGCTTTGATTTCATAGAGTTAGAAGAGAATTTTCCTCCACGACAACGGTCGGAGGAGGCGAACGGAGGGAATCACGACGAGCTTCAGCACAGCCTCTACAAATGAAGCTCTTGTCTGAGCTGAGCAAAAATTCTGCATCTGCCGGTCGAATACCAACACATTTTGTATAAAAGAGTACATTGCACTTCGCGCACAGCACTGTTGATTGCTTCCTATCAACTTTGTGGCCACATGCGCAAGGCATCATGTAGTTTTAATATAAAGTAAATATTAAGGTATAATTTCCTTAGAAAACACAAGAGTCACTGTCTCAATCAATATCGGGTTTTCATCATTGCAAAAAAGCAAATATATAAAAGAGCCACTGTCACAATAGTTAAGCTGATATTATGATTAAAATCGAAGAGCGAAGAAAAACACGTCCGCACAGCACGCAAATCAGATTCAGTGGGGGGAATTTGATTGGATAGCAAAATATCTTTAATAGAGGTTTTAAAAGTGTTAAGAGTAAGGTCAGGCAGTTATCTCAGCATGATGTAGGACATATTATCCGCACCTGCCGCTGTGTCTCTTTTCTTGTTAATTATGAAGTTGATCTCATTACATGTGATGGCAAGGTTGGGACTAGGCAGCGTAGGGCAGTTAATTTCCATCACCGCTTCTTGTGTCGGGACTTGTTCCTTAATTGTAGGTCCATTCTTTTGCAGCCAAGCTACAAAAGAACACTCGCTTAAATGACGAAATACACGCAAAGCAACAACACTAACTTCGCTATTTATCCGAGTTCAGCCAGGTCGGTTAAAACATACGCGACCTGAAGAGTAGTGTTGTTAAGTGAAAAAACTGCTCTATTGTGAATTGTTAATGGCAAAGTGGAGAGGGAAATTTTGGTTCTCGTATATACATGATTTATATTATAAATAAGTATATATATTACGCAAATACCTCGCATAATTACTAATTTCTATTGTTTTTCGTGTCTAAATCCCGTTGAACTAATCACATGTTTCTTGCCAGCTACCAGCAGGGTTGCTTAAGTAGCTAAAAGGAAATTTTACCCGAGTTGAGCGTTCTTTTGTCGCTCGCTCACAGAAAAATGCAGCTTGTACTCATCATTCCAAACCCCCTTACCAGTTTGACCATGATATCCCCGTAACGTCTTGGAAAACTTCCATGCGTTTTGACTTAGGCTAGAGTTTATTTTGTCAATTTTATTGTTGAAATTATTATTTTTGGCGTCTTTAAAAACTTTTTACCATGATTTCCGTTGTTCAAGCAGATTTTCGAAATTGATAGGGCTAGGCCATTGTTTGGCCTTTTGGACCGCAATCCGGAAGAATCCATACCAGGATTTGGGGGTTCGATTTCCACTAGTCACATAAGTGGCTCTTTTGATCTCTTTTTGTTGTTGCTTTAGCGGCTACAACAACCTCGCCGATCGGTTAATATCTCAGTCGTGGTCGTCAAGTTCCACTAACGGAAGCCCCAGGAAGCGTGCAGCCTCAATGGGGTCGGTCCACAGGGACAAAGGCGTTAGTGTGTCGGGTTTTCCGGCCATATGAAGAGATGTTTCGAGTCATGGGGTGTCTCTCCGCATGCCGGACACTCATTGGGCACATCTGCACCTAATCTGCTCAGGTATGTGTTTAACCTGCGGCAGTAGCCAGAGCGAAGTTGGGCTATTGTAGTTCCGGTCTCCCGAGGCAGATGAAGCTCCGTCTCGTCGATGTCCGGTGGTTGTGTGCCTAGAACGGCATTCACAGGCCTGGAGTCTACATAACTCGAGACTGACTCCCTGTGAATGCCGTTCAGGGCCTGTCGATATGCTGACGGGTCCAGAGGCTGCTTAATGAACCTCTGCACTTCGTCCGTCAGTTCGTAAAGATGTCTTCTGTCATGCCTTGGCGAGGGCTCCTCTGCAAGCAAGTGCCTGTTCGGGTGTCCACGTCTGTGGCTCCCTACTAGGAATTGCTTGCAGAGCATTGTGTTGTGCTCCTTTATGGGGAGCATTTTCGCCTCGTCGTGTAGGTGGTATTCTGGCGACATAAGAAGAGACATCCAGTCGCTGTCCGAAGTACATGTTTTGAGTCGTCTGCAAATTCATCCACTGCGACCTACTAGTCCCCGGCGACCACACTGGTGCTGCGTAATTTAAAACCGGCCGGCCTATTGTCTTGTATGTTGCCAGCAACGTTTCTTTGTCTTTTCCCCAAGTACTGCCGGCTTGCGACTTGAGGACCTTGTTGCGGCTGTACTTTGTTGACAATAGCGGTTGCGAGCGCAGAGAAGGAGAGCAGACTGTCAAAGCTTACTGCGAGTATTTTGGGGGTATTCACCGTCGGAATTGGTGTATCATCGACTGTGAATTCCCAGCGGTAGTCTGACCTCCTTCGTCCAGGTGGTGAACACCCGTTTACTTTCGAGCGCAAGTCATCAATTCCATTCCCAGACGCCAGTATTGAACAATCGTCAGCATAGAAGACAATGGAGACTCCCTCTGGTGGTTGAGGGAGCTTTGAAATATAGTAGTTAAACAATAATGTGGAAAGGACACCACTCTGTGGAATCCCCTGTTTTATGTTTCTAGGTTTGCTCGATTTGTCTCAAAACATTGCTGATGAGTGTCGACCACTTAGATAATTCGCCGACCACCGTTTGAGCCTCTGTGGGAGAGAGGAGGCCTCTATGTTTTTTAGCAGCGCAGGACCGAAATTGTTCAGCATCAACATGCATATTCCGTCGGGCCCCATGGCGTTCGCCTTCCCGATGGCTACCCGAACTTCACCGCTAGCACAGGTTGTTAGCAGTTTGTGCAGCCTTCTGGTCACTCGACGCTTGGCTTTGTACGCCGGAGGATGCAGTATGAATTGCCGGCTGAATACCTCGCGCATTGCTCCGTGTCCGACGAAGCATGTTCGCCGAAAGAAATTTCGACCCTGTCGTCGTGCTTCGTCTGATTGGACAGTGACCTCTCGGTTGACCAAAGCTTACTCACGCCAGAGGCGAAGTTATAAGTCTTCAGATGCTCTTCCCACTTTCCGCTTATGTATGTTCACAAGCTGCTGATTCTCCGCGTTGAGATCCCTGATACGGGAATTTCCCGGATCGGCCTGACGAAGGTTGTCACGCGCATCGGCTAGAACAGCCGCTTCAGCAGGGAAATTTGGACGGGGGTCCGTAATGCATCCTGCCGGTACGAAGCGAGCAGCAGCAGCAGTGACAACCCTGCGGAACTTACGTTCACCAAGGTGGACGTTGGTTGGTGTGGGGAGCGCAGTGAAGGTGTTCTCAGTAAATTCCCCGAAACCTTTCCAATCAGCTTTAGTAAAGTTGATATAGGTCCGGTGTTCCGCGGAAGCAAAGTTGGTTGGTTTATCGATCCAGATGACTATGGGCAGATGATCTGATGCCAAAGTCAGCATAGGACGCCATTATACGCTGTTTATCAGACCAGCGCTGACTATTGTTATGTCTGGAGAGCTGCAGCAGCTGGCTATAATCCTGGTGGGTGCGTCGTCCGTCATTGTGCAGAATGTCGAATCGTCTATCTGCTCAGCCAAGTCTGTTCCTCTACGATTGTTTGACAGGCTTGAATGTCAAAGATCGTGGCGCGCATTAAAGTCACCAACTACCATACATATCCTGCCGGGCAGCTAATGACACGGGGTATGCATACGTTGAATATTTCGAGCTCGACATCGCCTGACCGCATGCAATGCCCTTACATTCTAGGGTGGTATCCNACGCCGGAGGATGCAGTATGAATTGCCGGCTGAATACCTCGCGCATTGCTCCGTGTCCGACGAAGCATGTTCGCCGAAAGAAATTTCGACCCTGTCGTCGTGCTTCGTCTGATTGGACAGTGACCTCTCGGTTGACCAAAGCTTACTCACGCCAGAGGCGAAGTTATAAGTCTTCAGATGCTCTTCCCACTTTCCGCTTATGTATGTTCACAAGCTGCTGATTCTCCGCGTTGAGATCCCTGATACGGGAATTTCCCGGATCGGCCTGACGAAGGTTGTCACGCGCATCGGCTAGAACAGCCGCTTCAGCAGGGAAATTTGGACGGGGGTCCGTAATGCATCCTGCCGGTACGAAGCGAGCAGCAGCAGCAGTGACAACCCTGCGGAACTTACGTTCACCAAGGTGGACGTTGGTTGGTGTGGGGAGCGCAGTGAAGGTGTTCTCAGTAAATTCCCCGAAACCTTTCCAATCAGCTTTAGTAAAGTTGATATAGGTCCGGTGTTCCGCGGAAGCAAAGTTGGTTGGTTTATCGATCCAGATGACTATGGGCAGATGATCTGATGCCAAAGTCAGCATAGGACGCCATTATACGCTGTTTATCAGACCAGCGCTGACTATTGTTATGTCTGGAGAGCTGCAGCAGCTGGCTATAATCCTGGTGGGTGCGTCGTCCGTCATTGTGCAGAATGTCGAATCGTCTATCTGCTCAGCCAAGTCTGTTCCTCTACGATTGTTTGACAGGCTTGAATGTCAAAGATCGTGGCGCGCATTAAAGTCACCAACTACCATACATATCCTGCCGGGCAGCTAATGACACGGGGTATGCATACGTTGAATATTTCGAGCTCGACATCGCCTGACCGCATGCAATGCCCTTACATTCTAGGGTGGTATCCCTGCGGTCGGTGTCTGCTTCGATAAGAACCATTATCTCGCTCGCGATCTCGACGGTGCACGTTGTTATCCGGTCAATTCAACAATGTTTCGGCGACTCTATTTTGCTTGATGTCGCTATGTGTGTCCTAAGCAACAGGTTTTTCCTTTTTTACCGGCAAGCCGAGGCAATCTTTTTTCTCTCAATATAAGAAAATCAAAATTTAGCCAGGACCACTCACCTGAGTTTGTTAGCACTAATGGTAATTTCTCGACGACCGAGTTAATTAAATGTAAAAAATGTTTATTGATTAGCGCGGCCATACACAAAAAGCCGTTGCTTTAAAACACTTGAACTAAATTTCACAAGAACAAAAATGGGATAACTGCGAACTAAGCGAACAGACGCGACCGTACCACACCGAATGGTTCCGACAGCATAAACTCGTCGTAGAATATCTGTACGAATCTTTATTACGGACGGATTCAATGAGGGCTGTCTACGAATTTTGAATTTACGTTCGTAGGCATTCGGATTCTGTGATAGCACTTTCCTAGATTTCACAAAAATCTAAGCTATGATAGTCCTGATTAAATAACCAAAAATAGTTTCCCTGAAAGTGATTAATGCAAGCTTTGTGGTAGCCCGCAGAATAAATAAACTGGAAGCATGAAAAAAGTGATACTAGGCATGAGGCGATCACAGTAACTACTTACCGATATCCTGTAAGTTTGCGTGCCTTCCTTTCCAGCGCCTTAGCCGACTGTTTATACGCGTCTGCCTATTTTCCCTGCTATAGCTCATTTATAAATAGCAAGACATATTTATGCCTATTTCGGCATCCGACGGATACCATCCGTACGGATATAATCCGATGGCCACTGTCATAACAAGCGAGGGTGAAGGATTATAATCGTGCGAATGGCATCCGTCGAATAAATGCCTATTACGGTCCGACGGATGTCTTTCGAACGAATCTAATGCTCCACATTCACTTGTGATGACAGTGCGAATCGGATTACCGTAATAGGCATGACTTACGCATGCAATACGATTTCAATTTCCTTACTTATTTTACTTCTACAAACCGCACAATTCCCTACCATTTTAATATTTTTGTTGCTTTTAAAATTAACATTTTATTTTGTAAAGCAATGACGGTTACTCCTCCGCTTCTGAATTTTTTGATTATTTTCAAACGGCATTTTGGGTACATTAGCTCATTGGCTTTCTCGTTCTTACAGTGTATGTGTATCTGCACTCTAATGTTGGCAGAAGTACCGCCAACTTACTGCGAATATAGAAGTATTATATATATGGATAAAACACTGCTTACAGTGGTATAGAAGCGATGTTTTGCTCTCTTTGTAGTAGACATTTCAAATATGTCTAGCAATGTTTGCAATCTGAGAGTAAGTGTTTCGAACACCACAAACGCATTTATGTAGCTCTCTATAAGCAACATTTAGAGTATAGAATTTGAATTAAACCTGCTACCACGTTTTTAAATTATATAGGCGATCTAAAGAATGCTCGACCCAGCCCGCAGAGATCACGAACTCCACTTATGGGGTCAAACAATGGCAGTATTGCAGACGCTGGAAATATGGAAGGCCGTTTCCCACCTGCCAGTCCTGGCCTTAACTTTCCTCAGCATATCCAGAATGCGTCTAACAGTGGTGTCAACAACTATAAAGGCCCAGGTCCCATCGAGGTATGGTTATGAAAAAAGTTACTTTATTTTCCCCTGAATATTTATATATATTTTATAAATTCTAGCGCCAGAATTCGGCACCTGTAGCTTCACAGTTCTGTCGGCGCACTGATAACCTCCCATTGAATCCGAACAGTAACCGCTCAGGCCAAAATAAACTAAACCATTCATTTGATCCCATCTCGTCATTAGCGCAAATGTCACAGCAGCTTACAAGCTGTGTGTCTCTCAACACAGGTGGTGGTGGAAATAGCGCCGGTGTTGGAAACATGGGTGTTATTGGCGTAAATGATGTAAATGTTCCCAATAACATAAATCAGAATATGGATACTATGATGGGCTCAATCGATTCGGGATTAGATCACTGCAATGCTGGTTCATCCGGTAATATGGGTATGCCTCCTCATATGAGCGGTCCTGGACCCTTCATGTCTAATAACTGCCATATTAACACTATGCTTGGACCCATGGGGCAACGTTTACTTAATCCGAAGATGTGTGGTGGCTTTAATCCCACCAATGGAGGGATGGGACGTGATGGGCCAGGTGGACTGCATGGCGTAATTCCAACACATCGCATGATGGGACGCGTGGCTATGAACTTCGGAAGCTTCAATGTTTCACCAAATATACAAGTGAAAGCCAGCACACCGAATACCATACAGTATATGCCTGTTCGTCCACAAACCAATAATAATAGCAATATGCGCGTACCGCCGAGTTTAGAATTTCTACGTTACGCGAATCCTCAAATATCAGGCACGGGGAATATCATGGACAACACTCATATAGGACAAGGGATTACAGGACCTCCTTCTGATCCGAACAAAATTAGTAATTGCAGCAGTGGTCCTGGAGTGGCGGGCAACGCAGGTATGAACTTTTTTGGAAATTGTAATCAGATGGGTTCAATGGTCGGTGATCAAGAAGACATGGTTGCCGGGAATCTCATAGCAGGTCATGAAATGGGCATGGGACCTCATATGATACGTGGCATGCGTCCTATCAGACAACAACATATGGGACATTCAACAAATCAAATGATTCCTGGTCCCCGTATGCAAGCACCGGGCGTTCCAGTGATGCCAGGACACTTTGCTAACGGGCAACAAGATCCAATGGAATGTGGGGACGCTTCTATGTTCATCGCAAATAATCCCAATGCTAATGGACCGGTACAGGGTCCTACGCAGAGTGTACCCGGGCAAAGCCAGATGTACGCTGGTGGTAATAGTCAGCAAAAACCCGTAAAATCATTAGGTGCGAGCAACATTTGCCAAAATATGAATGCGCCAAGCCTGGGTAACAATGGTCAATTGTCGGCAAACGGAAATTTACTTCCGAATGAGCACAATACATCAATGCCTTCAGCAGTAAACGGGCCTCTAATGATGGGTAACAATAGCACCATGCTCTCAAACGCTATGCAAGTGGGTAATAATGCATCGCCAGTCGGTTGTAGTGGCAATGGGGGAAATGGTCCCGGTGATGTTGGAAATGTTGGTTATAAACCATTTGTTGGCCCCGCCTCGAATGATATTAAGTACGCGCAGCAGTATCACAGTTTTCAACAGCAATTATACGCAACGTCGACGAGAAGCCAACAAAACACTGGCAATTCTAATATTGGAGCCAATGTGTCCACGAATCCCACGTTTTTTGTAAATAAGTAAACATTCTAATAAAGTTAAGGTGACCGTTTCTATACTTTTTCAAGTTTTAGTTCATTAAATACTATGTTCATACATTTCTATGTATATTTGTAAATTATTTTTTTTTTATCGCCTGCCTTGTAGTGTATTGTAACGTTCGATTAGTTTGGAAACTTATTCAAAAATGTTAACAGGTAAAGGAAGTTATGATAAAGAAAAAAATAATGAAAACTTCAATTTGAAACCAATAACAAATTCATTATCAATGTAAACAACTTACTACGATGTTATGTATTATATTCTTAAGTCTCTACTGGAATTCACCACACTTTGATTTTATATACTTGCGAGACGTTTTTATAAAGTTACAAATTCTTTTAGTTGCATTAACTGCAGGTGTGGATGATAAGAAAAAGAAAATAATATATATATTTGTAACTGTATGCAATAAAATATATATAGAAATTTAAAAGTATTAAATATAGTTTAAAACACAATATGGCTTGTGTTAGATCTTTTGATGTTAAGACTATTGTGAAATAAAGTGAAATGAATCATGCGCTCCCTTATTCCAAAATTATAATATTTAATTTAAAGAATCGTATGAACTCGATTATACCAATTGTACTTTTCCCGCAATTTTGCTCGCAGGGACACTTAGATACATTCCCACGACAGCTGGTTCCACGTACCGGAATGACTCGGGTTTTACCCGACCAAGGGCTGTTGTTTCGGCGATCTAACCCCGTTTAGGTCGATGAAGTATCTCAGAAGTTCGTCCATAGGGCTACATTCGCTACGTTTTCTTCTGCTCAGGGCTGGCATCGAGTCAAACCCAGGGCCAGTGTATGCCGGAGACGACTACACCACAACTCCCCCTCAGTCAAGTGTAATGCTTGCGAGGGGTGGAGTCACCTCAGAGTCTGCTCAGGACTACGGACACATCGGCAGTGGACAACGTCGTTTGTGGCTCCCTGTTGCTCAAACAGAGCAGCCTCCACGGCTAACCTCAGTCCGCCCGAGCAGCCTCACACAGTCACCACAACACAACAACACAATAACACCACAGACCATACCACAGCCACGACAGACCACATAACACACACAACCGCACCACCACCCACACGCCGCCGCCAACAACTCCTGGTTCCTCCTACAATCTGCACGGTATGTCAGGCCAGGATATTCCGTAATGTGACATCAGTCAAGTGCAACACCTGCCTTGGTCTGCGCCCCACGCGAGATTGAGCGAGGAACTTCGAGGGCCTGTGTTGTGCAGCATAGTCGCAAACCTCAACTGCGACGCCACCCACCTCCAGAACCACATGAAGCTCCTTCAATTTAACTGCAACGGGCTTCAGAGCAAGATTGAGGAGATAACCGTCTTCATGGGAAGGCATGGTATATTGATAGCTGCGGTGCAAGAGACTAAGTTGCACAGCAGTTCAATATTGTTGAATTGTGCCGGGTACAACGTGCACCGTCGAGATCGCGAGCGAGATAATAATGGTGGTGGCTTAGCGTTCATCACGCACCACACCGTGCAGTATCGTCTAATCGAAGCAGCATCGACCGCAGGGATCCCACCCTAGAATGTCAGGGCATTGCTATCCGGTCAGGCGATGTTGAGCTCGAAATATTCAACGTATACATACCCCCTGTAACTTGGTGCCCGGCAGGATATCACCCTTATATAGGTGCGCTCCTCAGAGGAGAGAACCGGATGTTAGTAGGTGACTTTAATGCGCACCACGATCTTTGGCACTCAAGCCTGTCAAACGATCGTAGGCGAACCGATTTGGTTGAGCAGATAGACGATTCGGCATTCTGCACAATGAACGACGACGCACCCACCAGGATCATGGGCAGCTGCTGCAGCTCGCCAGACAACAATAGTCAGCGCTGGTCTGATAAACAGCATATCATGGCGACCTATGCTGACTTTGGCATCAGACCATCTGCCCAGTCATCTCGATAAGCCAACCGACTTTGCTTCCGCGGGGCACCGAACCTATATCAACTTCTCTAAAGCTGATTGGAAAGGCTTCGCGGAATTTACTGAACACACCTTCGCTGCTCTCCCCACACCAACCGACGTCCACCTTGGTGAACGTAAGTTCCGCAGGGCTGTCACCGCTGCTGCAGCTCGCTTCGTACCGGCAGGATGTATTACGGACCCGCGATAATACGGATGACGGACGAAGTCCAGAGGTTCATCAAGCAACCCCTGGACCCGTCAGCTTACCGAATGGCCCTGAACGGCATTCACAGGGAGTCAGTCTCGAGTTATGTAGACTAGACCTGTGAATGCCGTTCTAGGCATACCGCCCCCGGACATAGACGAGACGGAGCTTCATCTGCCTCGGGAGACACGAACGACAATAGCACAACTTCGCTCCGGCTACTGCAGCAGGTTAAACTCCTACCTGAGTAGATTAAATGAGGATGTGCCAAATGAGTGTCAGGCATGCGGAGAGACCCCACATGACTCGAAACANAGTTATGTAGACTAGACCTGTGAATGCCGTTCTAGGCATACCGCCCCCGGACATAGACGAGACGGAGCTTCATCTGCCTCGGGAGACACGAACGACAATAGCACAACTTCGCTCTGGCTACTGCAGCAGGTTAAACTCACACCTGAGCAGACTGAATGCGGATGTGCCAAATGAGTGTCCGGCATGTGGAGAGACCCCACATGACTCGAAACATCTCTTCGCATGCCCGGAAAACCCGACAACCCTAACGGCCTTGTCCCTGTGGACCAACCCTACAGAAGCTGCACGCTTCCTAGGGTTGCCGTTAGTGGAACTTGACGACAACGACTGAGATACCAACCGTCCTGGGCGGGGTTGTTGTAGCCGCTACAACAACAACAACAACGGACCCACGTCCAAATTTCCCTGCTGAAGCGGCTGTTCTAACCGATCCCGAAAATCTCCGTACAAAGGATCTCAAAGTACATAAGCGGAAGAAGTGGGAAGAGCATATGAAGACCTGTAACCTCACCTCTGGTGTGAGTAAGCTTTGGTCAACCGTGAAGTCACTGTCCAATCCGACGAAGCACGACGAGAGAGTCGGAATTTCTTTCGGCGACCATGCTTCGTTGGACCCGTAGCGATGCGCGAGCTATTTTAGCCGGCATTTCATACTGCATCCTCCGGTGGAC